GTTAAGAGTAGATCTTAAAAGTTATCAGGAGGAACCTCCTTGGCGGTGCAACAGGTTAAAACAACTCACTATGAAGTTCTCCAAAGCCACTGCAGCATGAGTTTGATCCCTGGACTGGGAGATTAATCACATGGCTGGCAGACCTCTCCTGTCCTGCCCAGTGTTCTCCTCAGCAGTGTACTTCGTCAGTCAGCCTGTTCTGCTCCCCACTCTGACCATGGTGAATCCTCTCACTGCCCCTGCACTTCTGGCCTATACCCCAGTTCTGTATGCATAAGTAAAAATAAATAAATCCTTTTAAAAAGTTATCAGGAAAATGTAACTGTGTTTTAGTATGTTAACTGGAAATATTTCGATGGTATTTGTTTAGTATGGACAAATAGAGAATAACACTTATGCATTTGAAACTAATATGATACATTTCAAATATTGAGAATGCACTGGGAGCACCCCCACCCCTTTCCTGACTTACCAGGCAAGAGAGGAAAGTCATCTGCATTGGCTTTTATATCAGAACTATCTTTATGTTCCTATGTTGTGAACAAATACAAATAAAATTTGCAAGCACTCCACAGATCTGGGACATAGAGCAGGAGAGTGGAAAGGAGAGGGTCAAACAGGAGGAGAAGAACAAGGGACTTACTGCGAGGGTTCACATGTGCTGATGTACTGAGAAAATTATGGGGATTACTCGTGAAGAGAAAAATCAAATAAAATGAACAATGGTGTATGAAAATGTAAAAAAAAAAACTAAATGAAGAAAAATATCTGCTGTCTGATAGTAAACCATTCATACCTCACTAGTGCCCAAAATAATTTATAAAAAATATTGAAACAATGGTTACCCAGCCTTGTATGTTCACACTGCACTCTTTAGAAATCACGGAAGTGATTAAATTCTAGCATCACCCACTTATCTTCATAGAAAATATCAACATATTGGGGCCTCTCTGGTGGTGCAGCAGTTTAAGTTAAAGCACAGCATTAAAAAGCTAAAGCCGGGCCCTCCCTGGTGGCGCAGCGGGTTAAAGCACAGCACTGAGAATCTAAAGCCGCTTCCGCATGAGTTCAATTCCCGCCTGCCCCGGAGGTGACCACATGGCATGGCAGACCTCTCCTGACCCGCCCGCTGCTCCCCTCAGCAGTGTACTTCGTCGATCTGCCTGTTCTGCTCCCCACTCTGTCTCTGGTGAATCCTCTCACCCTCCGCATCTCTGGCCTGTACCCCAGTTCTGTATGAATAAATAAATAAATCTTTAAAAAAAAAAAAAAAGCTAAAGCCACTTCAGCATGAGTTCAGTCCCCGCCCCGGAGGTGACCCACATGGCTGGCAGACCTCTCCTGACCCGCCCGCTGCTCCCCTCAGCAGTGTACTTCATCAATCGGCCTATTCTGCTCCCCACACTGTCTCTGGTGAATCCTCTCACCGCCCCTGCACCTCTGGCCTGTATCCCAGCTCTATATACATAAATAAATAAATCCTTCAAAAAGAAAATATCAACGTTTCTTCAGGCAAATATAACGGGAAAGTAAATGATGTTAGTGACCCCCCAACTGAGAATGTCCCTCTCTTTAAGAATAATTACATTAGTTACATCAATCACTCAATATTCCTATCTAAAAAATGAAATTCAAACTTGTAATGTTTGGAATAGTTCTCACAGAGTAAAATCTGTGGGACTGCTTCCCAGGCTAAAATTTTTACTTTTATTATCTAATAAACTGTCTATCATCGAAATTTTATTTCTGTCAACATATACCAATCACATCTTTATACTTTTTTTTTACATTTTTATCTCATCTTTCAAAATATTTTAACATTTGCAACCTATTTAGTAACTATATTTGCCGCATTTTATGTTTTATTTGTTTCAATATTCATTGAATTTTTAGAGTAGGAGCAAACTTTAAGTCTGTAATGACATCCTGAATGAACTCCACCCCCTGATATTTTCAGAGTCCACCCCTACCTCTACACTGAAGGGGTCTTAGGCATGCAGGATTTTAACTTCTAGTATAAAATGAATCTGACAACCTAACTGGGAGGTTGCTGGAAACTAGGGCTGGAGTTAAGTAGCCATGATCGGGTTTATAATAGAATACCTGAGGGCTTTTGCTACAGTGTCCTGACTTGCACCCTGGTACTGCTGAGGCGACTTAGAGGAAACATATGAAGAACAGGCACATGACATACTTGGAAGACAGACACTCGTGAGAGACACATGGGGAGGCTGTCCTTGCATAGACAATGGCTCCTGTTGTCTTGATTTGTATTATGTCTCTCCTTCTGTTCCAGACATGCCTAACCACTCTGTTGTGGTTCTTAGCCAAAAGACACCTGTGGCAAGCTTATGGGCCTCAGCTGTTCCACTCCGTGCCAAAGCTGTTTGACTATTTGCCCATGAAGTGATGGGTAACTTGGGGTGTTTTCTAGGAAATGTATTAAGAATATTCTTTCTTATCTTCTATCTCTATGCATGTGAATTCTATTAAAGATATTTTACAGTAAGATTGTTACTTTTGCCTTTGTATGGTGGATGGCTGGACCCCTTTTTAGAGCATATACCTCTTAATAGCTTTGGATGCTTGTGTACCCCTTAGTCTCATGCTAACAGTTAATATTCGGCCCCTACTGAAAGTCCCTGCATGCGAGATATGGTTGCAATTCCCCCTTACACTGGGTTTGGACAGGCTCCCTGTTTCAACCCTCTTTGTCAGCACAATGCAGAGGTCTTGCAGGGGTGAGAAAGGCAATAGTGGGCATACCTCCAGCCACCTGGAAGCCTGGATTCTAGTAGTCTCCTGCCAAAAACTCTATGCAAGTAATATGTCCCATGGTAGCCATGAATAAGCTACCAGGAAGATCAAGTTTGCTGTGTCCTCCTGTAACCTTCGTGTCAGTGTGGTCAGGTGGTCACTCGGGTTAGTAGAAGAGTATCTTCCCAGGCTCACTGGGCCAGTTAGAGTTACCCCTGGGAGCCACACTGATGATGGCCATGTGACTCTCTCTACTCCTGACCCAGCTCCTAGTCCCTGAGTGTTCCTTATTGCACCGAGAAACAGGTTATGCTCTCACAGAGAATTATTTTCTTTCCTTCTCAGCCCTTCCATCGAAGTGACACCATTCTTGACTTAGTTTTCCAGACTTTTATCCCATTTCTGATGGTTTCTGACTCTCCATCTTGCTGAGACTTTGGTCTTCTCATCCCCAGCTCCACTGTAGATGTGGGTGTTCCCTCCCGGCACTTACCCTTGGCGTTCCTGAGAAAAACAGCTCAAGGATTTTGTCTGTCTGCCATCTTCTCCTAGCAGACATAAGCTTTTATTTTTTTAATTAAAATATATTTTTTAATAAAATAATGACATTTTTAGGGCTATGTATTTGACTATTTGACTACAGTGCAATTTTGGTTATCAAAATCTATTGCCTTTACCAACAGGTGATCAGTTATCAAAGACAATTTTTAACCTAATAAAAGAAAAATGTTTTTTTAAAATACTGTACCCTCCCCCATTTTATAGTTTTTAGGAAAGTGTCATTTGTTTAACCAGTGTATTTTTTTAAAAGATTTATTTACTTATTCATACAGAACTGGGGCCAGAGATGCGGAGGGTGAGAGGATTCACCAGGGACAGAGTGGGGAGCAGAACAGGCAGATTGACAAAGTACACTGCTGAGGGGAGCAGTGGGCGGGTCAGGAGAGGTCTGCCAGCCATGTGGATCTCCTCCGGGGCAGGCAGGGATCGAACTCATGCAGAAGTGGCTTAAGCTTTTTAGTACTGTGCTTTAACCTGCTGCACCACCAGGGAGGGCCTAACCAGTGTATTTTTAATTAATGCCCTTAATATGTTCAAAGCATTGACTCATAAAAATACAATATCAAAAATGCATGATTCATTTTCCTATAAGTGTTTTCAAATTATTCTTTAACCTAAAACCAGAACATTTTTAACATGTTAAGGATGGAAGCAGGGGAGGGTTAAGTTATGCAACTTGGGGGTTAAGCGACATAACGTGATTTTTCTGACAATGACACCTGTGTTGTTCATTTTTTCCCTTTTTTTTAAAAAAGATTTATTTATGTTGCATACAACAACTGGGCTTCAGGCCAGAAGAGTGGGAGAGGAGAGGCGGGAGGATTCACCAGAGATAGAGTGGGATGTAGAACAGATGGATCCACTGAAATACACTGCTCAGGGGAGTAGTGGGCAAGGCAGGAGAGGTCTGCTAAGCCATGTTGGTTTACTCCCTGGCCAGGGATTGAACTCATGATGCAGTGCCTGGTTATAGCTTCATTGCACTGAGACTATAACCCCTGTGCCACGAGGGAAGCCCCAGATCATATGTTCAACAGGAACACCCTATAGATAAATTTCTCAGTGACCTACATTAGAGCAGAAGAAACTGAGGCACTAATAGTTAAAGGAACATTCCAAACCTGACGTGTCTGCTCTGTGCTAATGTGGCACAGCCCTCTGTGGGCAGCGAGGATGCTTCCACACACTTGCAGGGCGAATGTAGAAACTGGTGGCTAGTGGCTGACTCCTCCTGGATACTCCTGAGTTCAGTGGCAGTGCTGTGTACTCCTGCAGATGCTTCTTCATCTGCCAGCTATGGCATAACCAGTAGGAAGTGCGTAGGCAGCTAGAGCCCACAGCAGGTGAAGTTCTTAAAAGTGTTAATCTTGACATCTTATTCAAGGTTTGTTCTTAGTGATCTATTATAGCTGCATATGATTTTTGGTGTGTGTGAAAAAGGAAGCATTCACAAGTTTTGAACTTGCTAGGGACATGTAATTCGATTTACATGTAAACCAATTCTAGAGTATTTGTAAAAGAGTATTTGATATATTAGCAAAAGAGGAGTAAAATGTGAGATTATAAAATAGAAATGTATAGTTTGGGCAGAGCCAGCTTAGTAATTTTCTATCTTTACATGTAAATAAAGCTAAACAAGTTATGCTACTTTTTCATAATAAGTATACCTCAAGTAAGAAACAGTGGTTGAATATGGTAAAATTTATTATACAGTTGTAGAATTCATAGTCTTTATAAAATAGTCCTCACAGCATTTGGAACTTTTACAGTATTCTGGATTTCACAAATTGGATTTACATATCAGTAAAAAAGAATCACTGCATTAATAAAAATTACTCATAACTTTTTTTCACGTATAAGTCAGAATTATTACAGAACACAGCAAAAATGCAAAGGCATAATTTCTAAATTCAGGGAAGTTGCAAAAAACTAAAAACAAAATTTACTGCTAAGAGATTTGACATGCTTTTCACAAAAGCTCAAAGCAATTTTTAAATTTAAATCATCTTCTACAACATAACTGAGTGGAGATCAATGTAAAAATTTCAAAGAATGGAAATTCATGTAAAGATGTTAGCTGATACATTCATGCTGTTTTCAGGAGCTTAAACCCTACAAATTCAAACAAAAATATAATATAATATAAAGTATATAATATATACTTTATTTTGGTTTCAAACAACAAGCAATGTCAGTGAAATTAAAAACTGACAAGAGCTTGAAGTTGCCAGTATTTTCTTTTTTTTTCTCTTTTTTTTTTTACGTATAAGCAGTAGAGTAAATGCATGAGTAAATTTCTTCAGTATCCCACCCAACTTTAATATTGAAATCATATTATATAGCGCTGACTTCTTATTACTACTGAATTCCTTTTCTTTTTCTATTGGCTCTTATTCTTGACAGATCTTGGTCTCAACAATGAACTCATTGGGGAAGTGTCTAATCTTCCAGCACTTATCAGTGGCACGTTTGTTAAAACCTGTGAGGAAATACACACACAAAAAAAGATATTTGCAAATCATAGCCTGACAAGGGGTTAATATCCAGCATATATAAAGAACACATACAAATCCACAATTCAAAAACATACAATCTGATTTAAAAAATGGGTAGAGGATCTCTCCAAAGAAGGCATAAAGAATTCTAACAGTCATATGAAGAAATGTTCACCATCACAAATTGTTAGTGAAGAATATAAAATAATATGAAGTTAATTTAAAAATGATATATGCACTCCTATGCTCACTGCAGCAATGTTTGCAATTGCCAATACACGGGGAAAAGCTGAGTATCCATCCAAGGATGAATGGATAAAGAAAAATTGTTATGTAAAATAATGTGTTGTTTAACATGGGGATACAATTGAGAAAAGCATTGTTAGATGTTTTTAAATTTCATTAAAAAATTTTAATTTTAATTTTAATTTCTGAAAATTATTACAGTGAAGAAAACCCCAAGATTTATAGAAAAGTAATAGAAGGTATGCATTTTGATAAATGTAGCTAAGAAAATGTGAATGCCAAATTTCTTTGAATTTTAAAGAAAAACATATTTTTAGACCAGTTATCAGTTGTTGCTTCTCCTTAGAATTCATGCATTTGTTTTCATCAAATTAAATGATTATTAATTAGGTCATTGAAGCATTACAGCAGTCATGGAAAAGAGCTAATGGCCTAAAAGACTAAAACAATTATATTTATATAGCAACTTAAATGATTTAACATTTGAAACTGGACATTTTGTGTGAGCACACGGGTGTAAACAGATGTCAAATTATAATGTTGAAACATATATAAAGTTATAAAAACAAGACATTGCAATTTAAAAAAGGCTGTTGAACTTTTGTGTAAATAAAAACATATCTAAATTTGCTCTCAGCTTTTCCCAACATACTTCAGTCCCCAGTTAGACAGTACAAAGGAAAGGCTAAATGTCTTACCTAGCAGAAGGTCTCTGCGACGAAGGCGGAAGGACTTGCGGTTGTTGCAAAGTTGGTAAATAAAAATGCCAAGGTTACTAACATCACGAATCTCTTCCACAGCAACTAGGTCTTCACGAACCACGTAAGTGTGAGGCAAGTATTTACCACTCTAAAAATTATAATTAAAAAAAAAAAACTGAAGTGATAAATTCTCTAAAACATTATTTAAATCTTTATCTATAGCAGATGCATTTTTAAAATACTTTTTAGGGCAATTTTAGGTTCATAAAATGTTTCTTATTTGAAAATTATATTTCAGTGACTTGGAATGTTTTGGTTCAAATAATTATTTTTTAAATGAAAAAAATTGGAAATGTTTATAAAAATTTTGACATCCAAAATACATACAGCCAGTTTGCCAAAGAGTTCCACCAGATTCTTTGGAGACATAACAATGGAGGTATTGAGCGGCATCAGATAGCAGTTCCCCAGCAGTAAGTCCAGGTAAGCAGTCATTCCCTGTTAGGAGGAGAGAAATATGAGGTGTAATATCAAAGTATCAATGCTGTGGATTTTCCAGCTACTATTAGAATATGCAGCTTAAGCCTTTCAAAATCAACTAATGTTGATTCATTATCAACATTAATATCAAGCAAATGAAAAAGGCTTTGCTGCAAAAAAAGTACATAATGTGCTATATACATATGTTGATTTATAATGCTGTACACTTGAAATCTTTGTTATAATACAATGTTACTTCAATTAAAGAAAAATAAATTCTAGGACATTAATGATATTATCTTTGTGTTATAATAACCCATGAATACTGGTACCCTTCTTCAGAAAATAAAAAGGTACATTTATAAACAGGTTTTGTACAAATGAATAAGCTGTGAAAATATCAATGAGAATAAGAAACCCACCTTTTCGAAGTCATGAATAATTGCTGCAGGGTCACTGTCAGAGAAATTGGGGACAGGCACATCAATGATTGCAATGTTGTCATCCTCACGAATGTCAGCTTCTTCAGTGACAGGCAGGAAGTAGGGCTCTCCTACTCGGAGGATATTTGCAGGGAGCTCTGAATCAAGGAAACACATCTCTCCATGGTAGATAGTATTCTAGAAGATGAAAATGGAAGAACAAATTATTGTAATACTACCATGACATTTGAATCATTTCTCACACTCATACCAATTTATTGTACTCTTTAGCAAGCTGAAGATTATTGACTATAGTTGTCAACATGAAGAAATATTAACTTTATAAACTAAAAGGTAACTATAATCTATAAATTTTCATTTCTCTGCTACAGAGAATTATTTAAGTTGTTGCTAAATGTATAACACTAAGCAATCCAAATAATAATTGTAATTATTACCTTGGGCATAAAGTACTTGTAAATGCAGGCTCCACCCACAATAAGTCCTGCCAAGATGAATGACAGGCCTAAGAGAGTCAGCATGCATCTCCCAGAGGAGCTTTCTTTTTCCTGGGCTGCAACTAGGAGTTCCTATTTAAAGAAAAGCAAAAACAAATGGGAGAGATATGGTGATCACGCCTGAGAGGAGAAACCCTATACTGCCAAAAGTATGTAAAACAATAGTATTTCATTTAAAAATAAACAAATAACTAAACAAACTGATTGCACTTTTAGACACATAGTTCCTTTCCTATATGATTTATTTTCCTTGAAACCCAAAATATTTTGAAAAGATGCTACTATCCTAGTCTAAAATCATTTCAAGACAATGAATGGTATTTAATAGATGTGGAAATCTCCAGTTATATTTACCTTCCCTCAAGCATTTCTTTTCTTTTAAGCTTTATTTATTTATGCATATAAGAACTGGGGTACAGGCCAGACTTGCAGGGGGTAAAAGGAGTCACCAGAGATAGAGTGGAGAACAGAACAGGCAGATCCACTGACATACACTGCTGAGGAGAGCAGTGGGTAAGACTGGAGAGGTCTGCTGTGCCATGTGGGTCACTCCCCTGGCCAGGCATCAAACTCATGGTGCAGTGGCTACACTTAGCTTCATAGTGCTGCGCTTTAACCCCTTGTGCCACCAGAGAGGGAACCCTTCTAGCATTTCCATACCCAAATATAGATATGAAATTATTTCAAATACATACTTGTAGAATTATCTGAACCATTCATGTATGCAATAAGTTATCCTCTTTAAATAAAAGGAAATTATAAATTTTTTGATTTGTTTAGTGTTATAATCACTAACTTTCTGGAATACATTTGTATTTCTTGACAATTTTCATAGCTATTTGCTTGCCAATTGAAGAAAATTGTCCATTAATTAAATAATTTCAAAAGGCCCTTTTTTTGAAAATTAAGTTCTGTAAGGAGTTCTATAAGACAGCTAATGCCATTTCCACTTATTTTACAATCTGAAATATAGAAAGTGAGATATTTCATATTGCTCCTATATTTAAAGAGATAATAGGCTTCCCAATGCCACCCAATGCTCTATAGCTATATACTGCATGAACGAAATAATATTTTCCAAGTTCTAGATAAAACACTAAATTTTAAAGTACAGTATTTGAGATACTGAGATACAAAATGTGTGTAACCATGACTGCAAAATTCTAATAAGTCAATCATTTGCTTAGGGTTTGGAACAAGAAAGATTTCAAAGCAAACAAGTAACTTATTAATTCTGCATTCTTCCCAGAGCTTTGGATCAGGGGTTCTTCAATCCTATTATTTTATGTCAAAATATCTTGAAGACATATTTTGACAGAAGGGCAAAATTTATGAAGTCAGCAAATCTAGTCTAGGCTAGTGAAAGGTTAAGTCATTCAAACTGATATATAAATATATCTGTTTGAGTCTTTTAGCCCATTAGCTCTTTTCCTTAACAACTACTATAATGCTCATGTGACCTAGTTAAGCAACTGATAATTTAAATATATATATATGTTTTTCTTTAAAATTCAAAGAAAGTTGATATTCACATTTTCTTCGCTACATTTATCAAAATTCAAACCTTCATTAGTTTCTATAAACCTTAGGGCTTTTCTTTATCAGAGATTTTAAATTATTGGTATTAAAATGCTTCTAATTGACACTATAGAGACAGAATTGTAAATTATGATTGTAAATCACTGTAATCTAGACTTAGAAATTGTATTTCAGTTGATTAAATTGAGGTCCATAAAGATGAATGACTGGCCCATAAATTACAAAATGACTTAATTTCAAATATTCCAAGGAACTAATTTTTTTCTTTTCCTTCTGAGATATGAAAAAAATAAATACTGAAATTTATTTTCTCCTTCCAATAATCAGGGAGTCTATTATTAAGCAAAGTCTTACTATAAACGTCTCAATTACAAACATTTCCTACCGCACTAGCAATAATGACTTTTTGCTTTCATTTAAATTTTCTGGACCTCAGGATGTTTGTTGGTGGTTGTCACTTACCATATAGCTAATTTCTCTCTGTCGAGTAACAAAATCAGTGCCCTGCAGTGGCCAAGTCAAGATCCTATAAGAGTTTCGCAACACCCAACAAATCTAATAACATTGCAAATGCTCATATTTGTTTATTTCTCATCACACCACAAGCCTGGCAAGAAGTATAACTTGCATATTAGTTGAATCCCAACTACAAGTCATGAGGTTTTCGCTGCTGAGAAAAAAAAAGGGATAACTATGTGACTATATTTAACTACTGGCATCTAATTAGACCTCCCCCATAATCTGGCAATGTTTCACTTACAGAGTCGGTAGGTTACATATTTAACCTTCTATCATTTAATCAAAACCTCAACAATGCAAGGGAGTGTTACTTTTGCATTCTGAAATGTATAATACACAAAAGTTAGTCTGATTGCTGGCTTAAATGTTGAATATTTTCACGGTAAAACTTGTGCATAAACACAGTATTTCAACTTGTGTGCACGATCATTTTTCTACTGCGGTTATCGTTTCACTCAAAGCACATTTAAAATTTCCATTCTGGACTCAAAAGTTCTTCGTAGATCTTGTATCACAAGAAGAAAATATCACTGAGCTTTTTAACATTGTGATTTTTACTGAGGAAATGAGAAGTAGTTTATAAACATTGAAACCATAACAGATGTTTAAAGGAAATTGGACTGAATAAATAATGGCTAATATATATTTCTTGAAAACTCTCCCAGTTCTTGGCAATGTTAATAGTTTTAAATTACAAGTTCGGACATGAGTTACAGCTCTATATGGCGGGCGGGGGAGGGGAGGTACTGAGAGGCACCATGACTCAAACAGAAATACTAAAAAAAGAAAAAGGGAAAAAAATCTCTAAATTAATTTTTATGGAAGCATGTTTTCTTTAGAAATTGCCACTCGAAAAACACACGAAGTTTTTGCAGTAAGAGAGCACAGTGAACATCCCAAATTCTATTTAAAGCCAACTTAAATTTTGATGAACTCCATTACCAAATACTTAAAAGCCCCTATGACCAAGAAATTGAAAATATCCATGCTCAAGCAGAGACGCATACTTGCCCCAGCCTTTATTGCTTCAAGTTAAAGCTGTCCTGCCCTCTCCCCCAACATTCAGTGATGCTAGAAGGACTCAGATTCATAAAACTTCATCCGCGTCGAAAAGAAAGAGTTTAATCTCCTTCCCTTGCTCACCCCGCAGTCCACTCTGCCCCAGTGAGATTGTGCACGCCTTTGGAGATGGGGATTTGGCAGCATTTCTCTCAGTGAACCCCTGTCCCCCACATGTTCCCAAGGAGATGACACTGGGTCCCAGAGGTTCTCCTCAAATTCCCTCCTACAGCACTCAAGCCACATACAGCGTGAATTAGAACCACAGGAACGTGGCTCGACGTGCTGGGATAAAGCCGGGTGTAGGGCACCACAGAAAGAAGGTGGCTGACCAGACTGAACCATGCGAAAGCCCGAAGAATAGTTTAATCGTTTAGAACAAGACTGTCTGAGAAAGCAGGATCACAAAAGCAGCTTTCATTTTATCCTGTGCCATCAGCCCCATTACTTTCTTCCACCTCCCCCAACCCCCTTCCCAACACCAACAGGCTGTCCGGAGTGTATTGGGGACTGCTACCTTGCCGGTTAAGATCTGAGCTCCGACTGTGCGGTTCACTAGGGCTTCCACATCTTGCCGAGCCTCCTCTTTTTGCACCGCGGTGGGTGTGTTGAAGGCGATTTTCACCATGGTGACTCTGGGCTGCGATGTAAGTGCAGGCTGGAATGAGCGTCCTGGGCTGCCGGTAGGGAAAAAAAATCGTGCTAGCCCTAGCACCACCTACTGTCTTCCCAGTTTGCCTTATGCCGCAGCTAGCAAGACCAGGGGATACTTATGACTCGGTCACAAGCTGAGTGGGAGCCTGTGGGCGGGGCCAGGGAGGGGCCTCGGGAGGAGCGAGAGAGGGTTCAAGCGATGGGATGCGGGTGGGGGTTGTTGGCGCGGAAAGAGGAAGGGAGGCGGAGCCATCGGCGGCTATGGAATCTAAACGCACCTCACCTGCATTCCAGGCTTTCTCCCACCAACTCTGCTCTCAGATTTTAACACGACAGAGGGGAAACCTGCCGCATAAGTGTCTTTCTGCCTCTGTCCTGTTCTGTTTTCTCAAACTTGGGCCCTGATTCCCCACATTGACTTGGCACGAAACTCAGCCTTCCTCAGCTCTGCACCCAACAAAGTAACAAAAGCAGTTTTCTTGATTCTTCTGTACCTTTATAATGTCTTCCATTTAAAGAATACTTGCAAACCCGGTTTATAGATAATTGGTTAATTTTAACAGGAAAATTCTTTCTTGTAGTTTGTTTTGTAATTTTAATTTCCTATTCTAGAGTAATGATAAATCAGAAATATACAGCTTCTGCCTTCTCAACTGCCCATTTTTCAAGGAAACCAGAGCCTATTTCTCTTCAGTAATCTGCAATGAAATCTGTAGGGAGAAAAGCAGGGCTGTGTGTATTTATGTGTAGTGAGATTGAAATGGGCATGGGAGATATAAAATTTAGGCAGATGCTAATGCAGCTTCAGGACAAAAACCTATCATCTCAAAGAGGCTGAAATAGAAACAATTATTGAAGCTTTTACATGTGTAGCCACTATAATCAAGCCATTTGTTCAGTTGTCCTACAGTGGTGACACTGAAGGAGAACTTCATATATGAAGTTCATGCTGTGGAGATGGATGACTGAGGATGACAGCTAAAGTGTTTTATTAAATACTTGGTTCTGCACAGACAATGCCACTATATACAACGGATGTGTTTACCGCTTTACTAGAGACTATGCTACTTATCAACCTACTTACTTAAGGAACTTGAATATGTAAGTGACCATCTCTTTGTCCAGAAATTCAGTTTAAAATTTTTCCCAGTGTTTCCTTGATTCTGAATCCAGAATCCTATCTTCATTGGGGAGCGGGGGGGTGGGGGGAGTTGTGAAGACAGTCTTCATTTTTCTGGGTAGATCACAGATGAGAAGGAATGGAGGAGAAAAGTAGGAAATCTGTGCCTTACACAGGGCCAGATGATTGAGTTTACTTAGAAATATTGGCATTTTTTTACTTAGTCTTTAGTCAAGCCTGACCATTATAATTTAGCATTTATTAGGAAATTTAAAATTCCTAAGATTTTTCTTTGTAGTTACCTTCTGTCTGACAGTTTTTTGTGATAACTCAACTTAGGATCTAGGTTAATCTAACCCTGTGATTCGTAACACATGAACGTAGGAACAAATTGTTGCTCACACACATTTAACTACCGAGTCCATGGCACATTATTTTTTTAGTGTATCAAACCTTAAAGGATCAGGAATTATGTCCATTTTTTCAGATGAGTAGACCCAAACTCTGATAGCAAAGCTAGCATAAGATGACTTGCTGGTTACGTGACATTGAACAAATCACTCCATATTTTGGGTCTTAGCTTCCTCCTCAATAGACTGCTGCAATATCTTCTACCAACTGCTCTCAGGATCACTTAGGACAAGTAAGGAGTAAACAATTTTTAAATTATGAAATGAATAAGGCAGTGAAATGGTTGCATAACATGGAATCTTCCTTTTTATTGAGTTAACATTGGTTAACAACACTGTCCATAACTGAGAGGTCTGGGTTCACACCTTTTCAGGTATATGTCACCACAACACGCTCATCACCATGGCACCCACAGTACTCCAAAACAGTCCGTTGCCCACCCCCCACCTCCACACTTTGCTCTACACTTTGCCCTCCGGCAAACAATTCTGCGTTCAGATTTCTAGACTCTGTTTTGGTTTGATTTTTGGTGCTTTGTAATCCACATGATTGAAACTATCCAGGATTTTTGTCTTTCTCATTCTGACTTATTACACTTGATCTTAACCAAAAGGCCGAGAAGCAATCATTCTGACTTATTTTATTAGCTCCATTCATATTGTCACAAATAGTAAGACTTTATCCTTTATATAGCTGAGTAGTATTCCACTGCATCTATGTGTTCGTGTGTATACATATATGTACAATACATACATACATAACACATCATTTTAATCCTTGGGCAAGCAATCCTAGGTTGTTTCCATAGCTTTACTATAGTAAATTGTACTGTAGTAAACATAGGAGTACATATATTCTTTAGCATTAGTGTTAAAGAGGGCTCCTCTTCAATTTTTTATATACTATGAGCAATAGTATATATAAGGGTTCCTTTTTCTCTATACACTTGCAAATATTTGTTATTTCTGGTCTTTTTGATATGAACCATTCTCACAGGTGTGAGATGATAGTTCATTATGTTTATTGTTTCTTCAACACCATATCTTGCGTCCCTTGTCTCTCTCCCTTGTCTTCCTTCTTAACCTTAGAGTCCTTAGAATGTTTATTAATATCCACTAGTTTTATGTTATGGGATTGTTTTGTGAATGTCAAATATTTGTTGTTATCATTCTGCCTTACTTTGCTGCACATAATTCTCTCAACTTTCCTGCATTTTTGTTGAAAATGGCTGCATTTTGTCCTTTTTATTGCAACATAATACTCCATGGTGTGTTTATGCCACATCTTCTTGATCCATTTGTCCACTGAAGGAGATTTAGGTTGTTTCCATATCCTATTATTGAAACTATTCTCCTGTGAATATTGTGGAATATATGAGCTTTCCGTTAGTTGTTTCATTTTCTGTGAGTGTATGTACAAGAGTGGGATTGCCAGATCACTTAGTATTTTCAAGTTTTAAGAGAACTCCAGATTGTTTTTCATAATTATTTTACCAGTTCACATTCCTACCAACAATGAAATAAGATTCAACTCAAACTTGATAAAAGGTTTGGATGTAAGACCTGAAACCATAAAATACATACAAGAAAATGTAGGCTAAACACTCCATTACAAAAATTTCAGAAATTTCCTTGCTTCTGTGGAATCATCCCAGAAGCAAGGGGGAAAAAAGAGAATAAAATAAAGGACGGGGACTGCATCAAACTTAAAAGCTTCTGCACAATGAATGAGATAACTTAAACAAAGAGACACACTACAGAATGGGATAAAATATTGCACCAATAATTTAACAAGGGATTGATATCAAAATTCTACAAAAAGCTTGTGTGACTCAACAATAGAAAACAACTAACCCAATCAAGAAATGGTCAGAGGAGCTAGACACTTCTCAAAAGAAGACACAGATGGCCAATTGGCACATGAAGCTCAAATCATCAGGGAAGTTGACATCAAAACCACAATGAGATACTGTCTCACACCAGAAAGAATGGCCTACTTCAAAACGACTAGTTGCGTCAAGTTTTGGTGAGGGTGTGGAGAAGAAGGAACCCTCTTACACTTTTTTTTTTTTAATGTTTCAGTCTAGAAGTGACGTAGAGCTTTTTTTTTTAAAGAATTATTTATGCATACAGAACTAGGGTACAGGCCAGAGGAGCAGGGGGTGAGAGGATTCACCAGAGGCAGAGTAGGGAGCAGAACAGGCAGATAGATGAAGTACACTGCTGAGGGGAGCAGCGGGAGGGTCAGGAGAGGTCTGCCGTGCCATGTGGGTCACCTCCGGGCAGGGAGGATGGAACTCACACTCAAGTGACTGCGGCTGGCTTGCAGTGCGGCCTCCTAATCCATCGCACCACCAACGAAGTTTCCTCTCAAATTTTTAATGGGGGTGTAGAATGGTCTTACCCAGATGGAAAGCAGTGTGTATATTTCTCAAAAGACTAAGTATGTATCTTCCATACAACACAATAATTTCATTACTAGGTATCTACCCAGAGTACAACAACATTAATTAGAAAGGAAAAATGCAGCTCTATGTTGATGGTAGCACTGTTTATGACAGTCAAGATATGGGAAGAAGGAAACTGCCCAATAACAGCTTAGTTGATTAAGGAGATGTGGTGCATATATATAATGCAATACTACTCAGCAATCATAAGCAATAAATTCATGACTTTTGCAGCAATGTGGATGGAGTTAAAGAGCTAATCCTAAATGGAATATGTCAGAAATAAAAAGATAAAATCCAGATAGTATCATTAATATGTGGAATATAGAGAAATCACCCATTGTTAGTGTCCATTTCAGGGAGAGTAAATATTATCTGTATGGCTTTATTTTACTTCAACATATAATCTGCATTTACTAATTGAATTGAAACCAGTAGTTAACATTTTCTATCTACTAAAAATTTTTCTCAATGACATTAAGTTTTTTGTTGTTCGCTTTCTTTCCCAATATTATCTTCTTGCCTCTTAGAATCAATTTCTATTTATTGTTTTCAGAAACGGTGGGGATGTGGTTGTTGTGTATATTCCAGCTCACACTGTTAATCATATTCAAATCTGAATACACATCTGAATTACTTCCTTGTTCTTACATGTCAGATGGTGACTAAACTATCACAAACTGAGTGGAATGGAACATGACATACAATAGGATGTCAAATCTCTATGAAAGTTGTACAATTTCAAAATTTTCACATGAAAATTAGGGTAGTAGTAGCATACATGTGTAGTCTTTCATTCATAAACTCATTTATTTGTTCAAAAATTTACTGAAGATGTGCAATGTATCTTCTCCTATGATTAGCCAGGTAAATACAGTGGTAAAAAGTACACACAACTTTACCCATATAATCACCACTGCAGTCCTGGAAATGACATATATTGAGTTCAGTTTTTGTAACAGGACACTGTACTGTAAGATGCAGAAGTTCTACAAACACACAGAGTAGTTTCAAGCTTGATGCTACTAGATGTTTAAATTTTTAGTTCACTTTCAATGGTTTTACCACCGAATTCTATTTTGGAAGATTAATTTAACTTGTATGGGGAAGCCGGTAGTAGA